ATAGTCTTGTGACCTGACCTGACAGCAGGTTCAATCAGCTGCGACTTGAAGTATCCATGACAGCTTTCCTGTGAAACCGAGAAATTTTTTCGAGCAGTAGGTCAGATTACTCACTTGCTTCATTCATCCCTGTAGAATGTCACATCTTTTATTCTATCAACGATAAAATACATGGTAGAATTATTGGAAAACAAATGGTAAATATTTCATCGACCAGCTCGTAACCAGCACACTGAATCTGTGCTTCCCGTCTTTATTAGATGAATAATTTAATAAACTTAAATACTGATCCATGAAAGAAAGGAAACAAAACTCTTTTTCATAAACAGTCTTATTTTCACCCTCCATTTTGTTGCATTTGCAACTATCGTGTATGCAAGGAGGTCTGCATCTGTGCAGATAGTTTGTGTACTGCATATAGAGTTTATCACTCACTGTATACTGTTAATTGGGCGATAGTTTTATGGGTTGTTGCGTAAAAGTAACACAGTCCGCGAAGGAACGTCACAGTGAGGTGTTTCCGGTCTGTCAGTAAAACACGGAGAAAATTGATCAATACAATAAATATTTATAAATTGAAAGACAATGAGAGAAACAGTATATTGTCTTTGAATGTAATGGTAATTCACTTGTGCTGCAATGGATAACACAATTCACTTGTCGAAGATTATGTTACTTGTGCTCTTTGGCGCTAAATGGCGCCAATTACTCGACAGATAGAGAGGGATTAGAATTTGAAAAGAGAAAGACAAGTGCTGCCCTCAGTATCCGATACAAAGAGAGTTTATATCCAAGCTGGAAGACCCCGTGGGGTAATCTCTTCGGGCTGTTTCGTTTGTAGACTCATTGGGGGGTTGTTCGCATCTCGTCTAGGTCGTCTACTTGAATTAGACTTGCTCAAGGTTGTCCCGTATTTCGGAAGAGCAGGAGGAAAATGTCGGCCATTCACCTTTGTCGGTTGTCTCGTTTCATTCTTGGGCAATCCTGGAGAAGGGAAGAGAGGGATGCACTTCAAACTATTCGCTTAACCTGCAACACAAGAAGACCAAAAGCGTTTTTGTACTGGGTTCGGCAATTTTATTTAAAAGGAAAATTAACAGATACTGAAGGACCATCACTCTTAATTCATACACGACCATCAAAGCTTGAACTTCGTGACGCTGGTTTGGGGTCTTCGCTTGGTAGTTAGGTATTGAAGGATATTACCGTCGAGAGCTTCGGAGCCTAAAGCCCCACATAATGTTCTCACTTCTAAAGGTGCTAACATGAACTAATACCTGTTCCATAATTTCCAACAGATATTTATATGAATAGTACAAAACAGCAGGATGTAAGAGGTCAACGTTTGCTCAGGGTGGGAGAATAAATGTCAATTGTTCAAGTACCATGACAACAGAGAATGACAATTTGATGAACAGGTTTGTATTTGTGGATTTATGCCACCTCGGGATGATCGTAACCGATGGTTAGAGACACTAAGTGATATGGCTGGGTGTCGCAAACAATGGCATTCATGCATCCACTCGTTATTTTCCTAACACCACTCTATATGAATTCCCCATCTTCCGCTTGAATTTGCTTCGACATTCCAATCTCCATTTTGCTCTTTTATCCAAATGGGCAACCAAAAGACAGCAACCATAACCGGCGCACGAAAGTGCATGGTTAATGGTTGTAAAAGCTGAACTGATTTATGCCACATAACGATAAGTATGTTAGCCGGAGTGACCAAAACCAGATTTGCCGGTCGACTCTGGAAATGGAAACATTTGGTTGTACTAGAGATTACGCTATTTGCTCCATTCAGGCTGCCACATCCTGATCGCTGACTTCTGTAGTAGGGAACATTTCCTATGTAGTCTTTAGGTGTCTGTTAGGGGTATGCAAACGCATTACCCACTCCCGTTGTATATTCATCATTCACCAGATGGTACAATATCGCGCTGTTGATTTTCTGAACTTTTCATTGAGGACTGAAATCTAAGAGTTCTGCTTTTCTCGTTGATAGTTGTCTAATCGTGTGCCCAATATAATCGTGGATCGATTTAAAAGGAATAACTGGAATTTGTGAGATAATCTTAATTAAGCTCAATAATCGATCATTTAGTTCTCGGCATGATCCTATTATACGCTGCTCTTGATGTTTTTACAGCTAGCTATGATTCCAGAAGTAGTTAACATTTTTCTCAATTTTTAAGAACAAGCCAACAGAATAAATTCTTTTGCAGCTCGTTCTTTATGATTCTGTAGCAGTTGAAAATAGAGTTTTTTTTCAGCAGTGTATAACAGATTTTCGTTGAATTTATAGCGTTACATTCTGATTGCTTGAAAACTACTGGTAATTTCAGCAGTACGTGAAATAACTCTCTGGTGCTGCTGAGCCTTTTGATGGTAAATTGCATGGTGCATGTCTAGTTTTACAGTGTAATACGCGTGGAGAAGGTCTGGGTTACAGCTAAAAAGATATAAAAATAACTTTTATTTGACTGCTACTGACCTCAAGAAGCAGCAGACTCAATCGGTAATAGGATGGGACCAAATCTTTACAACAAAAGTATTAGATGAAGAATAATTTTTTTGGACAGAGCTTACAGTTTTGAATAGTGTCACATACCATTTTTCGACTTGATTAACGGGACTCCATCATGTTGACTTGACTGTAAAATCCGCAAGCGTGGTATCTGACCAATGGGATTTGAAGACTTCAAGCAACTTGGTTGATGTTTTTGTTCTGAATTGGGTGCATGCCTTCCGGGTGATAGCGATCGTATCCCGGGCTTCAAAGTTCGCAGTGATTTGTTATTCACTTCGATTTGACTTCTCTTTTGTCGTACGGATTGCGTTAATTCTTTGATTGTTTGTGCGTCTAATATGGAGCCAAGATCGGTGTACTCATCCTTGTTGACCAAATATGTACCGTCTAAAATTGCCTCCCGAGAGGCGCGCATCTTCGTTGGGTTTAAGCCAGACGACCTATTAGACAGCACGTCCAATTTAGACGGATGATCCGGTAATCGCGTAATAGATATAACCGACTGTGAACGGTGCCAATGGTTCATTCCTTCGTCTAGATTTCCACCGGAATGAATACTTGGATAGGTTAAAGTCATCGACTTTGGACGTAGACGAGATGATGATGCACCAGAATTGCGATCTCCTATTTGTTTCCCATCTTTCTTTTGCCGATTGACTTCAGATAGTTTTCTAAGAACAGCGGTTTTACGAACAGGAGTGGGATGAGAACTGCAGGCTACATTTGTTCCTCTCACTGAATCACGACGGAACTTTTCATCCAAAATGGATTTTGATGACAGATCATTGACGGTTGGTATTTGTGCATGAAATGATACGGCACCGCCAAGAATGCTTTCAACTACATCTGCCACACTCTCACTGTGTCCGTCCCCTCCAGCACCTTGTATATTGCTTTTCACCCTGCCTGCACCCGGTTCGACGGGGATATTCATTTTGGTACAGTCTATGGGAGAATACTTTTTGGTCACACTGGTATTGTTTTCATTCCATCGAACGCGCTGATTAGCCACTTCAGTCCCGGCTAAATGAAATCCTCTTGATAAGGAAAATTCAATACAAAAACATGGATTAGTTATTGAACAAGGAATCTAGCATACAAGAAATTCTTAAACGATACATAGGCTTTTCAATGTGATTCCACTGCACTTTAGGAAATGCATGGAATCAAATTTGGTCCGGATTTTACGACCACTAACTTTCGTTTCGTGGTTTTGAATATTACCTCTTGGTCACCTATGAAGATGGAGGAGAGGGAAGAGTAGAACAATGTATGCAGTGTCAATGTGAAAATAGAGAATTCAGGGGAACGAAGGTTTCGAATAAATGGAGTAGATTCATGAGGGCCACTGGTTACTCCACTCAGCCATAACGCGTAGTTTCGGTGAGCATTGATACCATTGATCCTCAGTTCTCATCTAGGCAACCTAGAGTTACCTAAGTAAGATGCTCAATCACAACTAAGTGAACTGATCCAAAAGTCTATAAAAAATATATTTGTTCTTATGTGGGCGCTCTATGAATACGTAAGTTAATCTATTCAAAGATCCATGCAGTCTTGTGATCAATAAACTACTTAACTACGGTAATATTTTAACATCAGGACACTGTCTTTCTCCTACTGTTCATCCAAATGGGCAGCCAAACGACAGCAGCCAAAACCGGCGCACGAAAGTGCATGGTTAATGGGTGTACAAACTGAACTGAACTGAACAGAGTTATCAAAACTCTTCAAATTAATGCAGGAGCTAGAATATGTTCTATGGTGCTGTGTTAGGAGAACCTAAGTTGTCATGTCATTATTAAAGGTGGCGTAATCTCGTTTTCATGGTAATAATAATGAGGAAAAATCGTGAGATATTGTTTTAGTGACTGCGAAATGGTTAAATTTTTCATCAAGCAATATTTGGTTAGGGACAAAGAACGTTTTCGTTTGATTCATTCACCAATTTTCTCCTTCTTTCTCAGTTCATCGGTTTGAATGCATTGAGTTTGTGGTACTAGTTTGTTGTTTGCATATTGGCTCAATCTAATCAACAATATCAATATGCTAGACATATTGTATTCAATTGGGAAAGTTCAAAACAACCCAACTTTCACGTACCGTTTGCACAACTCGATCAAACGAATCAGACCCTCGCGACCAACCCCAGTCATTCGAGAAGCTTGTATTAATGCTTCGCCAGATAATTCTCCGTGCTTCAGTATGTAGTAGTCTGGTAGTTTGGTCAACGTCGTCATATCCGTGGGTGTGCGTTGCCACACGGAACATGCGCGATTGTCTGGTCGATGATAAACAGTTAGGAACGCGTACTGCACGAGGTCGTAGTAGCGTACGGTCGGCGTGCGCATTCCCAAGTTACCGGTACTTGTATCTTTTGCACAGGATTCAAGAAAGACCAACAGTCGGAGACCATGATCACCGCTAACCGGAAATATGCATTCGAAATTACCCATACTGGCCCGATATCGTTCATCCACAAATTCGATCAGAGTACGTACATCGTCCGGAGTTAAGTGTGCGATGATCTCACGCAGCTCATCCATGACTGTCTTTTATCAGGTTGAAGTAATTAATTGGAAAATTAAAATTTATTTTAATAAGGTGGGAATAAAATCACTAAGTGGACGTAGTAGATAAATAACTATTTATTTATTAGAAAATGCAATTTGGACCTCAGAGAGCGACCAGATATTAGTTGATGTGAACAACGCACCGAAGAACGCCACATTTACAAAGTAGGTAAAATCTTACCTTTTTCGAATACCCAATGCAACATAGTTTAACCGGTAGGTACTGACGATAAACAATATTCCATAAGGTTGAGCAGTCCACAGACACATGTATGCCAATGAAATCTTACCGAAGCAAATTAAGCAACGAGTATCAATCATTCTTTCCTCTGAAAACACAGGATGCGTTGTTTGTTAGCATTGTAGAGACATCATCAAAAACGGTGAAAACTCTCTCCACAAAGTTTTCCCAATAAGACTCTGAGGTCATCGGTCGCCGCGGTATTCTTATCTATTTTCCTGCTACTGTTTCAATATGCAATTTCAATTAAACAATCAAATCAAGTATAAAAGTTAAAGTAATGGTCTGTGCTAGATAACCGTGAACATCTAGTGAAGAGTGCCTGGTGCCTCTAAACGATCCAATGCAAGCTTGATACTCTGAATGAAAAATGTTCTAAAAGACTGTTATCCCGGAGAAGTTCTTCGAAAATATTAGATGTAACTGTCTAAAATTCTGAAATCCTCTTCATTTTTGAGCACAAAAGTTTCATAAATGAATGAACTGGGTATCATTGTAAATCCAGCTTCGTGTTCACGAGTAACTGACGAAATGAGCTTCTCTCAGTCACAACAGAAGCAACCAAATGACTTAAGGAGGTTCAAGATTTGATCCTATTAGAAGGCCCTTCTTAAATGATTCTTCTGCATTTGAAACAGGCCTTTCAAGGTGACCATTTCTTTATTGTAAATATCTCACGCCAGTTTTCGTAACCACTCGGTGTCTCCGTTGTGCGCTGTGTGACAAGTTGCCTCGTCACGTCATACTAATCAAATGCATTATAATAAAACAACGTAGTCAGTAATTCCATTTTTTTCTTTTTACGATATATTTTGTAATATAACAAGCAAAAGAAAACATGAACAGATAAGCTTGTGGCCATACTACAACTGTTTCATTCATTCTTATGCAAGCTCATTAACAAGGGGAATTCATCGACTTCAGCGAGGGTCGAATCCATAGTGATCTCTGAATAGCTGATCAGAGCGATTTACCTTGTCCTTACATGACCAGGTACAGAAAATTCTTACAGACAGCATATATTTCCGCTCTTCTATGCAAAAACTCCGGATGTTATGAGTCTATGAGAAACAAGTTAACGAGATCATAACAAGCGTTTTTCATTTAGTTTGTTGTTCGCGGTGTTTACGATGCAATTTATCCTAAACTTCAATAATTCTTAAATCAAGATTGTGTGCTCAGAAACAGACAAATGTGAGGTACGTTTAGAAAGTATCTAGAAATAGTCCACTTTATGATGCTTTGATTGCTGACCAGGGAAACAAATGAAAAGATAACTAACTGTTTGGAGATCCATTTGGATACGAATGCAAAGCTGACTATTTTCTCTGCGATTTCTTGGTCCAGAGTCATGGATGCTATCAGTTTGTCATCACGTCCTACTATTCAATTGGCCATCGATAATTAAAGAATCATTCAGATCTAAGCATGGAGTATGTGACACAGATGGTTGCATGTGTATCCGACAGTGTTTTACACCAACATCATAACAGCTATTTTGAGAACTAAATGAATTCAAAACTTAGTAATAATCCATAGCGAACTCGGATAGGTCGAAGTTTTCTTTTGCAGTTCACGATGAGTAGGTCTAAGTGAATTTAAATGAATGCGTGTAGGAACAAAGTAAATTTTATTTTGGTTTACAGAATCCCTGTTGAGAAAAGCGGTGTTATGAATGCTAAAATGTAATTATACTGTGAGTCATTCTCATTGTAATTGTTTTCGTCACTTCTGAACGTCATACGTTCAGGTTTGATGGAGTAAAACAACATGATAGAGCTTTTGATAGTTTCCACAGATAGCCGAATGCTACGGAAGGTCACCAAGATAAAAGCAAGTGATAAATGGAACACTGTTTCGTACACAGTGCCTTTCCTTATCCTGTTTAACTCAGGAACAATGAAGAAGATTACCAGTTTTCCCAATCAACTTTTTCAATAAAATGGTGAATACATGAGCTACGTGAATACGGCGATCATTGGTCATCTTTCCAATTAGTTTAAATGTTCAGTCTTACACCATTATCCAATTTTAGCCTGAATGAAACATTATTTTTCAGATTTCACACGCACTAGGGACTTAAATGTATAATTGATCTATACTCTTTGCCGCGTTCGCGTTTTTCTCGAGTTTAATGATTAGTGTTTTCCTTTTCATTAGGCAAAACTTAGCAAATCATCTATTCAATGTGAACCTGTCGTCAGCAGACGATAAATGGTTTTTCTTTCGCAGACAACATATAACAAACCGACCAGTGATTTCAGTATTGAATAAGGTAACGTTCTGATACATAAACAAAGAAAATCTCAACAGAAGAAGATTGAATGCACAAAGCGCATCAAACAGAATCAGAATACTTATGAAAAAAATAGTTTTGGAATATGCAGTTTAGCGTGAAGTGTAAACAGAAATGCTATGCAAATTATTATATCGTGTCAGTTAAAGTATCCATCATATTGTGTACGTGACCGGAAAGTATAAGTATTGAAAGAGACCTTACATATTTTCTATACTCTTCAATGACATATTGGTCTGATGTGAATGACGCGTAGTGCAAATTTCCTACGTTGATTTTAATTTGGGAGTACAAAATGATAACAGCAATATGGTTGCCCTTTGGTAATTCATTTTTGCTCTAACAAAATGTACTTCACAAAGTAAACCTTTTAAACAAACCTGAAAAACTTTTAAGGAATAAAGTATTAAACAAACGTTGCTTATCACAATAACTTGTAAAATCAGCACCAAAGACTGAAATAATTAAACCTGAAAGCTTAAAATGTGTAAAATAAATAAATCAACTGTATACATATTGAAGATGCAAAAGATTGTATAACACTTCCTAGAATTTAGCTCAAGTTTATATTGCTTTTTGCAAGTCGAAATTCATCATATTCGAATCAATAATTGCAGCACTTATTTGCTAAAATGTTTTACTCGTGAACTCAAAAAGCAGTCATAAATCTATACGCTAAAATTGAGTAAATATGTACAGGTTATTAGATTGAATATTGCTGATACGATGTTGACTAGGTAAAATTGAGCCAATGGTATTCGTCTGAATTATGGAACGACCAATACTAGCGATGTGGGGCCATCCTCTGATTCCCCAAAATTGGTATTAGTCAAAAGTAAATTAATAACTTATTTTAGCCCTCATTATATACGTCAGACGTACCAAGGCAGGTGTCTTTCCAGATGGCTCAGCTGATCTGTGACGGGTCGATCGGTTAGTCAATAGTAGTCTGTTGCTAACCGTATTCAGTCGTGAGTGGGACGAAGGCAGTTTTAACGAAGCTAATCCGATATGTAGTGGCTGAATGAATAGAAGCAAATGAAAAGGAAACTTGAAGTCAGTGTGTGTGGTATGTATGTGGTAATTGCCAAGGGAACTGTAATCATTGTGCAATAGATTTTGTTGTCAGAAAAGAATACTACAGCATCGTGTTTGTGTTGGCCGAAAGTGAAAGCAAAAGCAGTCTCAAACAGGTAGATTAACGGCAGCTTACCACCCAAGACCCCATAGTAGCATTCACTCGTGATCAAATGCTTGTGGCATCAATAGACAAATCACATAGTGAAAATACATCAATTCTAATCGTCTAAAGAAAAAGTTACGGTTCTCTCTGTGGTAGCGATGATCCAGCGCTCTATTTCATAATCACATCGCTTGGGAGATCATGTGTGCGGATCGTACCGACGACGAAAATTTCTAAACTTTCCACAGCACTCAGAGCAGCCCTTTGATTGAACGTTCCATCGTTCCTGAAAATTAGTTGTTCATTTGGTAATGAACAAGAAATGAAGGAGTCGAAAAGATGCTTGCTTGAACCGAAATGAAAAGGAACCAAACCGACAACAAATCACCGATTGAAATATACAATAGACTAATTTAGACAATATAAATTATTCTGAGCTTACAACACAATGTGAATAAATTTCATAAATTTGAGTGGATTGATACGAAAGCAAATAAACGAATAGTGTGTACAGCGTAAAAGCGTCCAGTTCATCATCCTTCCTAATTTTCGCTGACAAACGTTTTTTGCAGGATTCTAAAATGAAGAACAGTTTCAGTTTACTCAAACATTAGCTCTTTACATCCATGCTCCCAGTTTGATTACTTTCTCTTGTCTTTTGTATTGGTCGAAAAACGAAAAATAGTTTCAGATAATCACACAATTCCATCTCCCTATCCGTGGGCTTCTGTTCTAAACTGAATGCATCAGGCGTTTCTCGTTCACTTGTTTGCTGATTTCAGCTTATACATGCGTGATACCCGCCGGCTGTTTTTGATAATTCACTGATTTGTGATGATGTTTGATCCATCCTTGTGGCGGGTTACTTGCTGATTTACAGTTCCAAAGAGCCGCTGTGAAAAATAAAGACTTTTAGTTAAACTGGAGTTGGCGGAGCAAGCTGGAAACTGCAATGGACCTTGGGACAATGAAACAGTTCGCAGCAATAAAATGTGAATTAACACTCATTATGAGCCCTCATTATACTCTAAACCGTGTGATTTTCTGGGGCCATCGATCGTGTGATAGAAAAGTGATGATTACTTGATTTTAATTCGGGACTTCATTGAATGATACGGCGAATTTCGTCATGTACAAAGCAACTCAATCTTGAGACGAAAAGCTGGACAGCTGTTTCGACCAGTGCAGATCTATCGATCCAACTGGAGATTTAGGGGATCTAGGGATCTCACAGGTGGAAATGGAAGCACACT